AGGAGACCAGTGAGCAGAACAGTCAGGAGAACAGTCAGGAGGGTAGTGATGACAGCTTGTAGGATTACTGGTTGTGCTAATGTTGTCTTGTGTTCGCCTCTGCATGTGTGTTCTGTGTTCACCTCTGCACGTGTGTTCAGTGCCGTGTGTCTGGCAAATAAAGACCCCCTCAAAAGTTAAGGTTTATTTCATTTTAAGGATGAGCACCAAGCAACATCTCCAGGTGCTCCTTTGAGAACCAGGGCAAAAAAGTTATGTGCACCCCTGATAATATGCCATAATGGCTCTTACAAAGCTATTCGCAATTTCACGACACTGAAAACAACATAATTCGACCACTTTTGATGCACTAGGATCAAATCTATAAACCTCTGAAAATGCCTTCTTAATTCGCTTCATATTGATCTGGTGGGCCTTCATAAAGAGCGGAGAAGAGCATTAACAAATGATGTTTTCCTCAACATCGTGTGTTTGTGACTGGTTGATAGATAATAGTGATATGATTATGATATTCTGAGAAGACATTGAAACATGATCAACCCCTGACGTTCTCTCTAGATTAACTTCATTTGCACTTCATCCTCACTTTAAATTAATCAAAGGTTTTTTTAAACAGAAAGATTATATCTGATGTTTTAAGACAGTAGGGGATTTGTATTTAAGAGTCATACAGCACATACAGTAGGAATCATCACATCCAATGAAGCTCAATACTCTTTTGTAGGTGTGGCAGTTTTCGGATACTCCATCTCCATATCCATTGGGGGCATCCTGGCCTCCCGCTGCCTACACAATTCCATGCTGTGTGACGTCCTGCGCTCACCTATATCTTTCTTTGAGCGAACCCCAAGCGGCAACCTGGTGAACCGCTTTGCCAAGGAGATGGACACCATTGACTCAGTGATCCCCAGCATTATTAAGATGTTCATGGGCTCCATGTTAAACGTGTTGGGTTCTTGTGTGATTATCCTGATTGCCACACCGCTGGTAGCCATCATAATTCCTGTTCTTGGCCTGCTCTACTTTTTTGTGCAGGTTAGTTGCAAGTTGACATATGACATAACAATAGTTGTCTTTCTTTTTATACATTTTGTGCAAAAGAGGTATGTTTTTTTCTGTCTGGTTTATTGATTTGACTAAATGTGTCTCTGTCCTTCCTCCGTCCAGAGGTTTTATGTCGCTTCATCTCGCCAGCTGAAGCGTCTGGAGTCGGTCAGTCGTTCACCCATCTTCACCCACTTCAATGAAACTCTGCTGGGCACCTCTGTCATCAGAGCCTTTGGTGAACAGGAGCGTTTTATCTGTGAGAGTGACCTGCGGGTGGACCATAACCAGAAGGCCTACTATCCCAGCATAGTAGCCAACAGGTTGGGGACATTAAGGACTCATTCTTACTGAATGTACTACCTGCTGGAAAAAGTCTTCCCACTGATTGCATACACTGTGCCTTAGTTGGCACCATGGTCTTATTTCCTTGTTGGGTCTGTTTATGTTAAGGTGGCTGGCTGTTCGTCTGGAGTTTGTAGGAAACTGCATCGTGTCATTTGCTGCTTTGCTTGCTGTCATGGCCAGAGAGAGCCTCAGTCCAGGCATCATGGGGTTGGCTATCTCTTATGCCCTCCAGGTAAACACTCTTTTTGACTTTTACGCAGAGATGGAGCATTTGAGTGCAAATTTTCGGGACTCATGACCAGGCCTGGAATTTCGTCATTTTAGGGGCAAGGCCACTTGGCCTTTTGAGTTGTCAATTTTTTAAGGGCACAAAGGCCAAAAGCCAGGGCACCAAGGCCATAAATTAAAACAATGATTTAACATACGATATGAAGTGACTACGATTGTATATGCATTTACAATACTTTTATATATATTTATTAAGCATCATCTTATCT